GGAGAACCCCTACCCCTTCCAGTGCTCCATTGAGGACCCCACCAAGCAGACCAAGTTCAAGGGCATGAAGAGCTACATTGCCTACAAGCTGGTGCCCAGCCATACCGGGCAACAGGTGCACCGCCGCTACAAACACTTTGACTGGCTCTATGGGCGCCTGGCCGAGAAGTTCCCTGTCATCTCTGTGCCCCACTTGCCGGAGAAGCAGGCCACCGGCCGCTTTGAGGAGGACTTCATCTCCAAACGTCGCAAAGGCCTGGCCTGGTGGATGGACCACATGTGCAGCCACCCCGTGCTGGCTCAGTGCGATGCCTTCCAGCACTTCCTCACCTGTCCCAGCACAGACGAGAAGGCCTGGAAACAAGGCAAGCGCAAGGCTGAGAAGGATGAGATGGTGGGTGCCAATTTTTTCCTGACCATCAGTGTACCCACGGGCCCTGGGGCCAGCCTGGACTTGCAGGAGGCGGAAAGCCAGGTGGATGGCTTCAAAGCCTTCACAAAGAAGATGGATGAGAGTGCCCTGCAGCTTAATCACACAGCCAACGAGTTTGCCCGCAAACAAGTCACTGGTTTCAAGAAGGAATACCAGAAGGTGGGGCACTCCTTTAAGTGCCTCAGTCAGGCGTTTGAGCTGGACCAGCAGGCCTTTTCATCTGGCCTCAACCAAGCCATAGCCTTCACTGCAGAAGCCTACGACACCATTGGGGACCTCTTTGCAGATCAGCCCCGGCAGGACCTAGATCCCGTGATGGATTTGTTAGCGCTGTATCAGGGGCATTTGGCCAACTTTCCAGACATCATCCATGTCCAGAAAGGTAACATCCTTACGTGTTTTCTGAAATTATGAAGTTTGATGTATCAGTGGTATGCACACAGATAGAGGGACCGGGCGCTAAATTTGGCCTGTGCTATCCTTGCTAGCCTTGGCTTAAATCTTTCCATGTTTACTCAGGTAAACTGTTGGTAAAAATACAAAAAACACATCAGTGACAATTTTTATTCTGTGCCAAAGTTTAGACATAGTTGGGAATTTTACTGGTCAGAGGTTGCTGTGTTTGGCTGTGTATCTCTGAAAGAAACCACGTCTGCCTGTACTGCTGATACATTAAAGATCATGGACTTGTTTACAAACCCTAGGGATCAAGTGGTATGAAAACATCTATTACTCTTTGATGTACATTAAATATCTTAAATCTCTGATTTAGTAGATAATAAAAAAGAAGTAATTTGAAGATGCAGGTCCTCCTCTGATTGACCACCTTGTCTGAGGTTTGCATGGTGGTGTGGGCATTTTGCAGTGTCAGACAGTTAGATGAGATGTTTAAAGCTGCTGGGGTTTCTCTGTTCGGCCACGCATTAAACTCTTTTGGTGCCTTTGTAGTAATAATGGTCTGCCACGGTGTTCTCAGTTGGAATTGTTCATCTTTTGCTCTTATTATCATAAATTATGTTGCTCATCTGTTAATTATTATAGCATCTTTCTAACTGAAACACCCTTCTTCAGTTCAGGTTGCTGTTTATATGGGGTTTTGTGATCAATCAAAGAGAAAGAAGCTCCAAAAATGAATCATTTGCTATATAAATAGTGACATTTGTTCAGATAAATAGAAATTTGTAGCACTATATATGTAAATTGTTTCCCTGCTGTGAAATTAATGATAGTCATATATTCTTCACCATTGTGAGAAGACTAGCCCATTGTTCATTCTTTTTACTAATACATTCCTTACCTGTAGTTTTCAACTTGAAGATCAGGAAGGTGTGGGGATTGGAGCTGTAAAAGAGACCAAGAAAACATCACGTGTGCTCTGCAGAAATGGATGTGTGTAACAGTTACCTGAGAAAATGCATGAGTTGTATTGAAAATTATTTTGGAGATTAGTAAGTGGTGTTCTGCATCCCAGGAGGCAGAGCCTGAACTGTCATTTACAGTGAATCAGTCTTTTGTGCCCTTACATGACATTTCCAGGGTTTTTGCATCTGGAACAGTACCTTGATGATAAAAGAGTTGCAAAAGTTTTTTCAACACATCGAAAAGGCAGGCTTCCAGGAGGTGTGCATTACTGCTAGGAACATCTGAGGAAACAGAGCTGGTATGAAGTGCACAATTTGTGGTTATTTAAAAAAGTGAGCTCTTCATAAAAATTGCTTTGCATCAAAGTCAGATTTCCATTCTGCTGTTGAGTCTTGAAAATTGTGTGTGGAAACTTAATCTTATTATTTTGAAGAGAAAAGGGAAAGTGTGCAGCCTAACCTTTGAGGAGTTGTTCGGCTAGCTGCTGTGGCATTGTGTTCTAGTAACAGCTTTGAACTATTTTCAATTTGGGGAGAAGGGTGGTCTTGGCAATGCCTCATGTTTGGGAGTAGAGCATTTTAAAGTGAGTTGTCAAATAATAATAGGATTTTCTGTAGACATCTGGGAAAAAATAGAGAAATTTTTTCGTTAGGTGGAAGAAACCAGCAGATTATATATATTATTTAAATAATATATCTTCAACCTTTGAGGCTATATAGAGTTCTGCACTGCAGTATTTTTGGAGAAGAGACTTTGAAGAGAGGATTTGGAATAATAAGACATGTGCTTGGCTCAACCCTGTTTCTTTTACAGTTCTGTTTGAATTTGTGCGTACTAGTTAGGTTTACCTTGTTTTGAACCGTGGAAAGCTCATCTAAATGAGCTTCCACTAGAGCAGTGCATGAGCATGATGTATGTAGAGTTGATAGTGTGCCAGAGCACTGCCCTAGCGCCGGTTGGAGAAATGTGCAGCTGGTCTGCATGCAGGTGTTAATGCTCCAGCAACTCAGGGCTAACACTGCCTTTAACATGCTGTTATCCCTGGTACATACGTGCCATCAGAAAATGGCATGGACTTGAGAGATTGGTCTCTTGAGTGTCCACGTTCATGGTAGGAACAGTGTTAGAACCGGGTTACGTGTTTGTTGTTGTCGTTCCCGTCACGAAACAGGCAAACTGGAAGGAAAGTGGTTTTTACACACAGTATATTGCTGTTTTATTACCCTGAAGAGTTACTTGTGATGAGGTATAACTTTTCAACCCCAAATTGTAAGCTTCAGATGAAAATATGAACTGTTTGGTGTTCTTACAACGTAAGAGCTTGCTTTTAAGTTTACTTTCTGGGATAGTTGCCAGTTTTGAGAATTATTATTGTCTGTATAGACTAAACAAATATCTGTTGGTGATAATGCTCATCTGAAAAATAGAGTTGATGTGTGTGTCTTCAAGTGTTTTATTTTCTAGTGCACAACTTCTTTGTGCAGTAAAATGACCCCGGGGTGCCCTTAGAAGTGGTAGAAGCAGCAGCTTGATTGATGCACTGCTTACATGGCCGTGCCTTTACACAGATGAACTCTGAAGTTAGGAGTACTTCTCTTTTGTTTTCTGCATAGTGCAAATATATCATCCACTTGGGGTAAAAACCAAGATCTTTCCTAGATCCTGTTTCTGTATTCCCTTAGACCTGAGAAGGAATGAAAAATAATGCAGCTGAGCCCAAAACATGCCCATGTCAGTGGGTAGAATATTCAACTGCATTGTCCTGTTATGGGTTTGCTTTACTGCAGATAGTTGAACAGCTGCTGAATGTAATTTGGAAGTGTGTTTTGTAGTATGGACTGAGAATTAAAACACAGGGGTTTTTAAATAATTTCTGCAACTTCTGCAAAAAGAAGGACAGAGAATCTGTAAGTCAAAGACAAAAATTTCCACCCCGTTTGGGCTTCGTCTTTTCTCCTAGAATTATGAACCAAAGCCATGTAACCCCTGCTGTTGCTTTGTCTTAGGAAAATGTGTTAACTGTTGTGTTTTTAATTGCTCTGGGATCCAGGTCTTTCTGCCTCCTGTTCTGAGGACATCACACATGATCTGAAGTGTGCAGAAAGCAATTGTAATTTTGGTCACTTGTGTTAAACGTGAACCAATGGACTGTTTGAATATTTTCAAACTTTTTTATCTCATTAATATTGTAAGTATTTTATGAAATGGCAATGGCTTCAGTAGGAGATTTTAAAAGATTCTTTTCCCTCTGCCTCCTTCATCTTGAGCACCCAGTGTTTAAGGAATTTTCTGTGAGGGAAGGAGGAGTTAAAGTTCCTGCTCCAGAAGAGCCAGAGGAAGGACTTGAACCTTTCTGTCCCACATGCCAGTTGAGGATCGACTTGTCGGTGCTTTGTGAGAGACCTTGCCCAATTTTGCATGTGTTCCAGCCCAGATCTGACGATTCATTGGATTGAGCCCTATAGCAAAGAACACTGAATTGGAAACCCCATGCTTCCATCTGGAAATGCTTGATTGGAGAGTCCCACTGAGGCTGGCACAGAGCATATCAGCCCCTAGGCATACATTCCTTACAAACAACTTGTTTTATGAGTTTTAGTTGGAAAACTAAGCAATTAGGGGAAAGCTGGCACCCTGGCACCTGTAGTGTAGATGATGGCAGAGTGGTGTCTTGAGCATCTAAGCACCCAAATACTTGTATGAATCTAGCTCTTCCCTCCCCGCCATAGGCAAATGCTTCTAAAGTGCTTGCGTGAAAGTATTCCTGTGAATACCTGTGGTGTTTGGAGGGGAAGATCCTAATGTGTTAGACATGTATACTTGTACTGAGTTTTCTTCAGCCTCTGGCAAAACATTTGTAGAAGAGGAATATTAAGTTCAGTAGGATCAAAAACTAAGCTGCACTTTTGTCATTTGCTTTTGCAGAATTGGTGAGTCTTTCAAGAAATACTAGATTCAGTTGCTTTAATTTTGAGAAGAAAAGCAGCCTCCCGTCTTCATTTGTAATGGATAATGTCTTATTTTCTGTGTTTTTAGGGTGTACTTGTGGAAATTCCCTAGGCATTCTTGGCAAAATAATTCCTAAATATTAATTGCTAGAGCTTCACTCAACTGGTGAATGTCCTGACTTCAGTAATCTTCAGTATAAATAGTGCAGGCCCATGCAAGTTCAGGTTCAAATCTATGCACATGTAAGAACTTGGAGATAGTGTATGATAGTACTGTAGCTCATGCTTGTCTGGCTATCTTGTTTTCATATTTGCTTAGTGAGAGTAGAGAAGTTATGGGTTTTTGTGTTTCTTTCTTTCAAGTTTGTTTGAGGAATTACTATAATTGGCCTCTTGTGATTCTTGAGAGTAGAAGAAATATTGACTAACTTGCTGTTTCTTCTCTGCTTTCCAGATTTCTCCTTTCTCTTAACATTGTGATGTTAATGCTAGCCAAACTTTTGGTTGTGATTTTTGCAAAACAGATTTGAGAAAGTGGTCTAAATATTTTCTAAGATGCAGGCAGCAATTCTGTTTCCTCTGTATGCCAAGACTTAAGATAATTATTTTAAAAAAAAAGGAAATCTGAATGACCTTTTTGCTTCCTGATCACTGTTTGTGAAGAGTAAAACAAGGCAAATGGTTTTATTTACCTGAAGTAAACTTAATTCTAGACATTGGCTTTAAAGAATGTGCTGGATGTGTTTTTAGAATATCTTAGAAAATCGCAGGTGAAAAAACATACCAGCTGGAAATGCATCAAAATTTCAAGCATCAAAAAAACCCAAACAGCACTGAAACCCGGAACTCTCTGTAATATTTTTAGCTTTTTTTTTTGCTTGCCTTTTTTTTTTTCAGGGGGAAGGAAGGAAGTGTATGTGTGTTCATGAATAAATCAGACTGGTCAAAAAGTACACCTAAAATTTTATGTCACAGTATTAAAGCAGTGTTTTTCTCTCTTACTTACTTTCTAACCTTTTAAATTTGCTGTGCAGACATGGTTTTTCCATGGGGTTCAACTCGGGTAGCTACTGGCTAAGAGCTAGGCTTGTAATCCTAGCTGGA